CATATGTGATTTCTTTTGCTATTTATTTACCTGCAAAACAGGTGAGACACTTTACTTTAAATGATGGATACTTGTTATTGTGAGGTCTTTTTTAAGAGAAAACTAAAAGCAAATAAATCTGAGTTTTTGATAAGACATTCATTCATACACTTACTTACTATCCAGTTCTCTTACTCTTTATAAGTAAAATAACTGGTCTTGAGCAGGAAATCCATAATAAACTGAAAAAAGATACAAAGTTTGCTGGTTTTCCCCTGCAAATTCACACAGAGCTGCAAATACAAACTTAACAGAGCATCAGGGCTAAGATTAGTCGCAACTACAACCAGGCTACAACATAAATCCTTAGGAAAGAATTTGACACAAGCAGATTTATCTGCAAGACTGTCATCTGTATTTTCATAGTATATAAAAGTGACCCCAGGAGTTTGGTAAGAAATTCCACAGAAAAAGAGTTTAGCAATTTGGCCATATTGTTTATCTTTGAAATGCACACATCAAGCAACTTTAAGAATGATGGAGGGAATTAAAATACAAGAACACAAGTGCTGTATATTCTAATATTGGCATGGGCATAACAAATAACAAAAAAATCAAAACCCCAAACATTTTCCTCAAAAAGACAATCCTGAAATGATGTCAGACTCAATTCCCAACAATCCTATGTTACTTAAATACAAAAATCTGGTTTAAGTGTGTGAGTAGAAAAAAAATATGTATGATAAATTAATAGTTAGGAAGAACACTGAGATTAAATTAGTAACTTCTAGTATATATACAAAAATATTATTGGTTTTGTGCTAGCTTGAAGAAGAAAAAATAGTAATGTAACAGTAGTATAAATACACCTTTCCTTCTATGAAGGAAAGCTAATGAAATAATTTCCTATTATATACATACATGTAGTCATATTAAGATCATTGTCAAGTTTTCACATACTGTATCCAAGTACTGACAGGACAAACTATTCTGACAATCCCTTTCTACTGTACATTAAAGTTCTTTAACGTAAGAAAAAAAACCCCTTGTTTTCCTTGCATCTATATTAACCCCAGATGGGGGGACTCTGAATTCCTCTTCAGAAATTAAAAGGGAGATTTTAAATGTGCAGTCACACATTTATGTTAGCAAGTGACAGTGCAGAGTAAGAAACAACTATGGAATGCAACTCAGAGACAGGGCTGGCAAGTAGACACAAAGGCAACACTAGCTGGGCAAAGACCAAAGCTGAAGTGCTTTTATATCTGTAAAAGTAACAGAATACATCTAGAGCCTAGAAGAGTCCATCACTGGTTTGTGCTCTGAGATACTGTGATACTGTTCCAGGGCTTCCTTTGGTTTATAGTTCCACTACTGTGCAAAGCTTTGTTAGACACATGAAGCAATTCTGTCCTCCACAACTTGCCAGTGACTTAACACTTGAAAAGAAGTTTCCTCTGAACTAAAAACAACTGTAATAACAAAAAAAAGCAGTTAATAAAGCCTCATGGGTAATGCTGCTGTCTGCACTTGAAATACAGACTATCAGCTTTAACCATGAAGGCACTAAGTTTACTACAGAAAGGCCACAAAAAGAGCAGATATACTTCCCCTACCACTTTCATTCAAGGGACATATGTAATGTAAAGTATCCCAAATGTAAGGCATCAATGATACAGTAAACCAAGACATGGAGTTCTTCTTAAGATCTCTACAACAGCATCTGGATTTAGAGGAAGCAGTACTTTGCACACTTCCTGACAGATTCAAATTCAGATTTGGATATGACTTTAAAAAAAAAAGTTCATATTCTTGTACCAAATCTACTGAAGTGTGTCTCTCTATTTTCGTAATAGCTCCTATAACTGACCTTTGTTCCCACTATTTCAGTTCCAAGTGTTCCTACCAATCAGTTCCGTCACTGAAGATACCAGCAATGCTCTAGGTACAAATGAAGATGCCCAAGATAATGCAAAAGTAACAGCTGTTTCGAGCGTGGCTTCTGAAAGTATTCATGTTTTAGTGTTCTTCATGACTCTAAGATTCCACAAGAGCAGAGTTAACTTACCAGTTAACATTACTCAGCTCTTAAGACAACAGAAAAGCAATTCAAAACCAGATTAATTTCACAGATCCTGTCAGATCCCTTCTGTGTTCAATCCAACATTAACAGGAGTGACCAAATTCTTCTGCAGATCTCCTTAAATTTCTCACTATCTGTCAGCTTACAGAGAAGCATATACTTGAAACAACCAGTTACTATATCATCTTCAGAACAATTTGAGACCTGAAACAACCAGTTACTATATTAGATCATCTTCAGCACAATTTAAGACCAAGCACGAGACACTCATTAGTAGCATTTTCACACATACTAGGCATTCAGACTAATGAATTGGATTTAGGATTTTCTGTCTCCTCCAATTTGTTCACCACCTATGAGTAGCCAAAGAGCCAGTCTCTGAGTTCACATGACAGCTTAGAAGTTGGTATAGAAAAACTACCATCTCATTCCTTATTTCTGATACCATAAAGTAAAAAGCATGATGACTTCCTTTCTTACAATATAAGCAGCAGAATCCAGTTTCTTCCTCTGCTCTCACACGAAGGGTCAACCCACTGACAGAAACAAAACAATCACACAGAGGGAACATGCCAGCTCCTGAGCTGAGCTGGAAACCAACCAACGAGCCTCCACTAAGCCAAACAAATCCAGCATCAGCTATTCCGACCAGCACCCTCCCCCTGCAGAACCACAACAGGAAGTCTCTTCATCTACCAGGAAACATCAGCCAAATGACATTCAAGGAAAGGCAGGCAGAGGTAGAAATCACATGACAGCTAAGTCTTTCCTACGCCCGCCTCTCTTCCAATCCTAAACCCTCCTCGTGTACTGGTTGCCCCTCAAATAAATTTTTCAAACTTGGTAAAGGCAGGGACAACAGGGATCGAGTACAGGAAGAAAGAAATACAGCAATAATTGCCAGAACAGAGCATAGTAACAAGTTCTGCAAAGAGAAAAAGGAAGTTCAGACAGTCTTTGGAAGGTTGCAGCTGGCGTTAACAGGGTGCAAAGGCAGACTGGGAAGCATGGACACAGAAACGGTACAAGTGGAAGAGAGAAAAAAAATTGGAAAAGCGGGTTCTTCCTTTCTCACAGCCACAATATAGGAAGTCATAATAGAGTAAGCCTCATGTGAGGGAAAAGACAGGCAGACTGGAAGGACAGGGGATGACAGGACAGGTCAGACCTGAAAGCACGTGGCCTTGGAAACAGGGAAACAGGTTTCATTGGTAATGAGAAGGAGCTGGGAGGTGATGCCGGCATCAGAGGGGGGAGAAAAAAATGGGGAAAAAACGGCCGGGGGGGGGGGGGGGGGGGGGGGAGGTGAAGCAGGGCCAAGGGAAGACCGAGAAGGAAGCGGCGAGGCCGGGGCGGGAGCGCTGCCCTCGCCTGCCCGCTCACCTTGATGCACTGCGACATTGCAGCCGTGCCCGTCGCAGTAGACGAGCGGGTTCTCGGCCCAGCCCCGCTCGTCGGAGCACACGCAGCAGCCGCCGATCATCTCCTTCATGCTACTGGAGAACTCGCCCTCCAGTGACACCGGCAGCAGCAGCGGCTCGCTGGAGACCATCTAAGGGTTAAAAACACCGTCGTCAACACCGCGCACGCCACACGCGCCTCGCCCTCCGCCTGCCCCCTCCCCCGGCGGGGTCTCCCCTCAGTCACTCAGCCGGCGCCGCCGCCACCACCGCCGCGGCAACGCTTCGGGGCCCATGACCGCCGGCTGAGCGCCTCGTCTCGCCCCCGCCCGACCAACCGGCCAGGCTGTGTCGGCCGGGCCGCGGTGGCGGCGGCTCCTGAGGCGGACGCGGCTCCGCGGGCGTGCACGGCGGCGGCGGCGGCGCGCAGGCGCAGTGCGCGCGCGCCCGCCTCAGGAGCCGCCGCCACCGCGGCCCGGCCGACACAGCCTGGC